TGCTACTTGTTAATAACGCCCTGTCTAAATCCATAAACTTCTAATCTCCCTTATCCCATACAGAGTGCATTCTGGATTCCGGCTTCCTACAGGCACCTACAGGACAGATCATAATATGCCAGTTACTAGTTTCAGTAACTATTGTTATAACGGTGGCCAAGAGGCTGCGATATTCCCGTCTGACTAACGCCTCGTGTGAGCCCCAAAGGACGAACACAACAAGAAGTGTGCAGAAGCGGAAGTCTTAAAGCAAACCTAGTACAGCATACTTAAGAGCAAGCGGATGCGTATGTACAAGGTTGGGCCAAGGTTACTAGAAGTAGTACTTTAGCATAGGGTATTACTTACAGCAGCATTATCTTAGTCTTCGTAGTCCAACTCCTAGTTGAAACGGGCACAGCCTGGGAGGAAAGATCTGAGAGGGCGATAAACATAGCAAGCCCTGATGTTCTCAGGGCGTCAAACCTGTATTTACTCGAAAAAACATAAACATAAATTTCCTATTCCTTGCTAAGGGTAAAGGAGGTATGAGCTCTAGCGTAAATTTTAAACTCAGCGTCACTTCTGACAAATGCTAGCGTCAGAAATAGGACCATTACTACTAAGACTCGGCTACATTGATAGTCAGTAGTAGTAGTAGTAATAGTAGTAGTAGAAATAATAGTTACCGTATCAGTCTCGGTCTTGTTGGGCCTGTCTTTACATCTACTAAGGGTGAGCCTAGGGTAGACATATCACAAAGTGTTAAGGCTACTAAGGTTTAACAATAATGGCTAAGATCTTCCAGGCCCGGTTCCTTAGGAGATGATAGAAGTCGTGGAAAGCCAGAGGAGTAGGAACAATATATTAATTACAGAATGAGTTAGAGAATAGTTCATAAGAAGGTTGACTCGGTCTGGCGTTGCATTCACCGTTACGGCCGTGAGAGCGCGGCAGCGCCGACGCATCCGCCCCGCTCAGGGGCAGAATGCGAAGTGATTTCTGGCGTCAGTAATCGGGGGCGGCCACAGAATCCTCTCTTTGTCTCGCGGCCTTGATGGTAATTGGTTGGACCGCGCGAAGGTAGACACTGGCGTTTGTGGTCCGTGTCTCGCGCGCTAGT